GGAGCTGCGTAATTAATATCACTCAAGCTGCAAATTTTACATAGGTGCTCTGTTTTGTGGTTTTATCTTAATATGACTTGGTTGTTTTTTATGTCTTATTGTTAAAGTAAATACAATGGTTCTATCTTCACCAAATTGTCCATTGTACTCCAAATTCACATGTATTGTACAAATACATGTAAATGGAAGAACTCTTGTGTTTACATATTTCCATGGCTTACAAAATATTTAGATTCCTAAATGTTGACTATGACGTGTAAATTAATATTTTTTTGTTGGATCTATATTTAGAAAGTGATGATCTATTTCCCAGAAAAAAACATGCACATCTGCATTATTATACACATTTTTTTTATTTATTTTAAACAACATTTAATAAGAGGTTTCTTTGTGTCCTGACTATGCTACTGAATGATGTTCCTTTTCGGGCAATTAAATCCGATATTTGTGTTTTCATTTTGCGGAATATTTTGTATTTAGGTAATTTACCAGTTTTAAAGTCTCTTCCACCTCACTTACTACATTTTCCCTTACTCAATATAGTTAAAGTAGGCTTTTAGCCCTTTTTACTAACTTTATTTCCTATATTCGTCGGACTTTAGTATTGGATTTACTAAAAATACATATGAACTACTTCTGTCTGACCCTAACAAATCGACGTTTGGAAAATTTACTGGGTTCAAATTAGGCACAACACTTTAACATCTTCCATGCACTTTCAGACTTTAAAAGCCTTCTAATTTAAAAAAAACTCTATATCAATGAGGTCAGTAATTGCTGCGTCTAGCTTGTAGCATTCAAGAAGCTCCAAACAAAGTAAATAATGTATACCTAAAATTATAATTAAATTATCTTCTTATTCTCTATAGCTACGTTCTTGTTCCATAGTATATTACTGGTCATCGGTAGTTGTTTTTCTTTCCTGCAAATTGCTTTTCGATATTGTCTCTTCTAACGTTCCGAGCTTGGAGAATCTCGTCCTCAAATATCCTTCAAGGCACTTTCTAAGCAGATTTTAAACCGCTATGGGATATACAACAGCCCCGTTTGAGATCATTTGTGAGCTGGAATCCCGTTGTTAGACCACATCCAGTTTTCAGTCTTCCTCGCACTTTCCCTCCTGGTCAAACGCTGTGTTTTTGCAGAATTTTTGTTAATGAGCAGAGATGATCGAATGTGGACCATCGAGCTCTAAAACCGACCTGTTCTTGAGTTTCTATCTCCGAGTATTTCTTTTCTATTCTATTTTTAAATATTTTGCCATTTTGTCTACTAATAGACTCTGTAACTGCTATTCTCGCATAGCTATCATAGCAATTACGTTTGTCTTCCTTCTTAGGAATATTGGGTATGTTGGAATTTTCCATTCCTCAAATGCTTCCCATGTGTTGATGCATCTTTGAAATAAGTTTCTTAATGCAGGGAAGGGCTTTTCAGTCCGACCCTTTGGTAATTCCTCTCGGAATGTTTCCTGGTTCTGAGGCTCTGCCGTTTTTCCAAGGTTTCACATGCGTCTTTGACTTCTGATGCTGTAATTCTGTAATAAACTGATTTTGTTAGAATCTCTACAACGTATTGACTCCATTCTTCCGGTTTAATTGATGAGAAGAAGAGTTCTGTATTTCGGTCCGTCCTAATGTTCTTAAGAAGTCGCCTGCATTCTGGACTTTTCCTTCCTTAATATAGGTCTTGCGTTTTGCGCACGTTTTTTCCCAATGGTTGTTCTTCTTGTCACTAATCATCCTGCGTACTCAAGCTTGCGAGTGTTTGTACTTTAATTTATCGCTTATATTATTTAAACTTAGGCACTTGTAGTAGTTCTGTTTTGATGTGATCTCTTTTTGATTTTTTTCGTCCCACCAATATGGTTTTTGATGGTTTTTATTTCCCGCTGGGAGACCTAAAGCTGACAGTGTGGCCGAATGCAGATATTCCTTTGAATTATTATATTCCTCCTCTATATTAACAAATCCGATCCAACGCATCTTTTGGTCCATCTTATTTTTATATAGTTATTTTGTACTTTTATTTTTCTAGCTATTTATCGTATTGTTTCTTCAGTTGTTATGTGATGTTCTCTAGTACCTTCTGATGGTGTTGTTTGTGACGTTATTCTTCCTTTCACAAAGTAGTGGTGGCTTCCACATCAGGTTCTTACTCGAATTTTTACATCTGGTAATTTTAATCTGTGTTTTTTTGGCGTATTAACATATAGTCAAAAATGCCTATTAATTCCTTTGTTGCCTGTTGTTTTGTAAAATATTTCACCATATATAAAGATAAACTTAAAGATATAAGAAAAAACCTTTCTGAAAACCTTCCTTTGCGTCTTCTGTCGTACGCGTTAATATACTCAATTGAATACCGTTTAAAAATATTATTTAAAATCTGAGATTCCCAAAGATTATCATAAAAGATAAGAAAGAAAATAGCTTTAGAGCTCGTTTGAGGTACAAAATATTCACGCTTTATCCCCTTAAGGTGCCTCTGGATTTTCAATATCTATTATTCTTAGTACTTTAAAACACCAAACAAAAGTTAGTTAGGGCGGTTCATGGGTTGTTTGATCGTTTCGGTTTCTTCTAGTCAAAACATTTTCCAGTTTTATTCAAGAGTCTCACGGACAAAAATACCACGTTTTTTCAAAGCAGGTCACAATAACTGGCTGTTCATAAGACACTTTCCTGTAAAACACTCCCGGAACTATTTAATCAATGGGATGTGGCGAAAGATTCGCCACATCAACGTAAATGCTAATCTTCACATTACCATTTGCTAATATGACTATTCGTTGCAGGCATTGGTCTGAAAGTGTGTCGCAGTCGTATTAAAGACGCGAAAAATGGAATACATTCTTTCATAATGAATAACAAAGATTATGTGATAATACACTTTTCAAAGCGAAAAATCGAAGCTTAAGTTACCAGTGGTGAAACCCAGACATTGTTACCTTCCCATTGATGAAATAACAATTAGACTGTCGACCTCAGAAAGTCATGTTTGCAAATTCCCCTTTAGGCGTTTGTTTAGTAGAGAAAAAAACCCAGCTTGTATTTATGTAATCAGCTTTTGTCAAGTGCAAACGATTACGCGCTGTTTACGGGATACAGTTAGGTTTTGAAAATTATATAAGCGAGAAAAGAAATTGCGGGTAGGTAATACCATCTGAATTTCATCACCACAGGTATGATGCAATATAATAGTTTTAAACAGCATAATGTCACTGTATCGGGAATTAACAAGACTTCGGCATTTGTATCGCTAACAGAAGTGGAGCGTAAACGTATTTCTGGTAAATCGAGAGAAAATGCGAAGACAAATGTTCTAAGTGTATACCTATAATAATAATACAGTTTTGAGCAGAAAGAGCGACTGGGACGATAGTCTTTCTCATTGGAAGCAAATATTGTTTTTATTTGGATAATAGTTTTGGAGCATTTAAAGGAAATTTTTCTTCAGTATTTTATAACGAGCATATTGACAACTGGTGTAAAGTTCCGATTAGTAATTTAACTTTCCGCTATTCAACAGTGTTTTTTTTCTTATACTTAGTAAAAATAACTAAATATAAAATCACTTTTTTGCCAAGAGCTAAGGTATAAATTAATTTAGTTGATGGAAAATTGAAAACATCTTCAATTCAAGTCGAACAATCAAAGGCTTGTTATTTTATTTTTCATATTCAGTTTAATTTATTGTATAGATGTTAGGAGAAAGTATTCCATCAATCACATCCATGGTTATTAATGATCTATAGAGGATTTAACAATGACCTTACGCAAAGTTCTTTGAATTGATATGTGGGCTTTTCACAGTCGGGTTATCAGGGTCAACTCATCAAGAGAAAATGACGAAAAGTTACATACAACATTCTGTGACACTTTAAAAATTGGAGTTAATAATGATGGTTTATTAGAAGAAAGTTGAAAGGGAAGACTGAGTATGAAATTGTGAATTTACCATGGGAGCATATTGCAAACTGAGTGGTGGTAAATTTAAAATAATTATATAGTTTAATTCTTGATTTCAAGCCTGAAAAATTATACTAATTAGTATTTGTACAAATGCGAAACGAGAAAAAGTTTGTTCTTTTTTATGATTTTTTCTAAATTCTATAAACTTGTTTATCATGTGAACATTTTTTCAAATGAGGATATTGCTTTTTTCTAAAATTAATTGATGAATGAAATATTAAATAAATAATTGAAGATGTAGAAAATGAGGCATCCTGATAATTGCACGGATTCCCAAAAAAGTAAATTAGACAATATTTTTAAAAGACATACAAGAAGATTGATAGTACACTATCGCTATCATAAAACTTTTGCTTCCATATAACTGTTCAGTCTTTTGTTGCTTTCATTTCATTTCAATACACATTTCAAAATCTCAAGTGCAGCTTCAATTCCCCTGATACTCTACTGTCCATGTTGGTTGGATGGAATTTTATTACTCCACCAAATATAGAAGTTAAACGATGTTAGATCTGGTCATCAAGCAGGACGGTTTTACGAGCGGCGGTAAAGGCCTACTAGCTATAAATATTAGATAGGTACGCACTGTATTAGGAATTATTTCGACACTAATTGATTGATTGACAAACTGTCGCCAAAGACGCCAAGTATCATAATTTAAAAAAATTAAGGCCACATTTTCAATTATTTTTCTTCAAAATTTGAAAAAATTTGATGGTCCATAAGTCACAGCTCCTCCAAACAAAAATCTTTTTAGAAGGGCGTGATTTATATATTCAAATAGCACAAAATAAAAAATTCAATATACATTTACTTTAATCAAAATCGATAAAGTTGATGAAACTTTAATGAAGGTAAATATTCTCAAATTGATAAAACATCAACATTGAAGGACATTTCTGTCATGTTTAAAACCAAACAACATATCCAAAAAGTGAGACCTATGGGGTAAGATAATGGATAATTTATTTATTTTTACATCACATATTTTAAGACGTTTTCAATTAAAATTATTTATTTTTGCAGGACATCAAGCGTAAGTGGTTTCGCCCCATTTACTTCCATTGTACGTAAGTAGGCAAATATGAATGTCAGTTATTTCTTAAAGAATGTGCTGAAATTTTGCTCATTTGGCGTGCATACATCAATTTTAGTTTCTATTATTTGGAAATTTACAAAATATTGCAATAGCTTCGAGTAATTAAAAGCTTTACAATATTTACCTGTACTTGACACAAATATCATTTTGATGTTACTGCAATTTTAATATTTTGAAATTTTGGTTCAACTAATTAAATATGATTTATCATGGGTTTGATGAAGTGATATCAATGCACTCGGAGTATATTTCAAAAATATTACAAAATTTTTGTTTGCGCTGTATTACTTAAACCTATGATTTAGAAGATATGATGAAGCATGAAAAGCAGACGCAATTAGTGAAGGATTCGTGTAGAAAAGAAGCTAAGGAGTAAATTCATTGAATTACCTTGAATTGAAAGTCCGTTTTAAGCATATAATTGTTCAGCTTTTAAAATTGCTATTTATTAAAATAAATAAATCCTCGTAAAGCATGTTTTTAGAAGCGCTAAATATTTGAAAATCATTGTTGCTTCCTCGCTAGATTGATTATGATTGTCGAAACAGCCTTGATTATTGACATTCTCATTTCAATATTTTATTATTGCTGTGTTAATGTCTTAATAATAAAACTTAGTGAAATGACTGAAAATTTTCAAAAATTGATTTACCTGATTAGCCCAAGGAAGTAGTCTCTGTGAAGTTAAACAATCTATAAGTTTCTGTCAAGAAAAAACGTGGTTTTAAATGTAATGAATATATAAACCAAAACTCAGTTGGTAATAATTTGTTTTGAAAAGCAAACATGGTAAAGCATTCAGTTCATATTGCTTCTGACCGCCATTTTCATTACTTTTTTCCTTAAATTTTAAATTAATTAAATTTTCCTTAAATTTAATTTAAAATTTTTAAATTAAAAAATTCAAAAACCTTAGTTGAAATTTTAATGAAAAAACATTGGTTGAAATATGGCATTTCTTTCTTGGGGATTCGGTCTGGGCAGTGGTGAAAAAAATAAAATTTTTTTTAGCTACCAAACTCAAGACGTGTGGTTTGATAAATCCACATCGATCACACAGATTGAAAGCTGGTTTCTTCAAAAAAAATTGTTCATATATCGGTCAGGAAACTAACACTATTAAAAAATTAGTGAAATAGAGGATTTATTTAATTTGTTTTGTTAACAATTTTAAATTCGTAAAATGCCACTTTAAATGAAAATTCGTCTTAGTTAAGACGGCTTTTGGGGACAGTATTACTTTTGCATTCTCGGTAATATTTATGATAATATTATAATACTGAACATAAACAGTAAGAGCCTATTTTTATTTGATGTAAATAAGTTAACGAAACTGCGATTTTGTTATTAAAAGTTACAGATATTTTCAAAGTTTCCAACGGCTTCCTTTGATTTTATGCTTAATTATTAGAATTGTTACCAAACTAACTAGAGAAACTTCCACCCCCGTCTTCTATATAGAGATTTCGTCAAATTTATAAACAAAAAGTTGATTTCGTGGTAATTGTAGGTCACTAACAAATTTTTGATTCGTTGAACATAGAAAGATTTGAAAACAAAGCGCTTCAGCGGTTTTTGGCTATCAGAATTCTTGACAAAAAATGTTTCACATTTATTAGATAAAATCAATTATGGTTACAACAGTCTCTGAGAAGTGATTGACAATAAAATACTTTCCCCAGCTCGAAAAAGTATTGAATTTCGCGTTTTCGACAGAACATGTGCAAATACTGATACTATTTTTTGTGTTATATTAGTTCATGAACCTACTTTCTTACGAACATTACTATGTTTATTTGCCGGTTATGGTGACCTCAAAATGATTATCCATCCATGCATTTTGATTTAAGTACCTGCTCCAAAGCATGGTCGAAGATAAAGGATCCAGCGTCTGCTAGGTGCAGTTTCTGATAAACTAATTATTGCGAAAGTTGCTTTAATATTTATTAGTGTGACCATGTTCTTGAAATTATTCGTTCGAACAAAAAAAAGAAGAAAGTTTGAGATAGACAAAAAGTGTAAAATTAAATATGAATGAAAACCATAATTGGGAATTAGTGAAGAAAACCACTAGTACAACAATAAATTTGTTTACAATTTCTGCCTATTACGTAAATATTAGCTAATTCTAGTCACACAGTAGCCACTCAGCTAAACCTGCAAGTACTTCATTATCCAAATAAAACATTTGTAGCGTCAACGTTTAAGTATTTATTTAGTTCATAAAGCATTTGAAGATATTAAGTGTAGTTAAGAACTCGTTAGTCTGAACAATCAACCTAACCTCGAGTGAAAAGATCAATGTATTAAGATTCAACAAGCGCTAATAATGACCGGCTCAACAGGCGTGTAACAAGTTGCATTGCACTTGGCGTCGTTTCTAGGTTTCTAGGTCTATAGGTAGATTTTGCGGATGGTAATAAGTATTTAGGAGTAAATAAACGAGTATTATCCGAGAAAAATCAATGTAGAAAATTGCGTTTTGTTTGGCTATACGGAACGTGGGACTTTACAGGTCTTCGGAAGGTAAAGTTCAACTTTCGAATTAGTCAGCCGGGTGTTTTTTACAGAATGATTCAAAGGAAGGAAGATTATTGCGTATTGCTATTTTTCTAACATTTTGTCAAATAATGCAAGAAAAACGGCCTAAACATGAGGGCAACAAATTGAATAAATTGCAAAATTTTAACATGTAGTMTACATGTTTTGTAATTGGCAGGAAAATAAGGATATTGTAAAAGTGTTCTACCATTTTCCAATTGTGGAGGTTGTTTTTACAAAATTTAACGTTCTRTATATTTTTATTGGAAATTAAGAGCGTAGGCAAAASAAAAGTTTAGTTAGAGTTAAAAACTAAATTTCAACTTACTAATTTWAGTTTTTGAGTTACAATTTATATTTAAGTCTATGGGAAACGTAATTACAGGTCAGCGTGGGMAACGCCACGGGTTGCTCCGCTAGTTCTAGACAAAACCRATATTCTATTTAAAATAAAACTGTTATAATGCTGTAGATGCTAACTTTCCAAGTTCTAAAATAGCTTTGTATTTAATTTCACACGGTTTCAGATTTAAACAATGTAATAATGACCAGAAATACCTCATGACTAGACAGACAGGGTTAATATGTTTGACTACATTGTTTTACTTCATGTCTAATATGTGTTTTATAATAACTATGAGTTTTATTATCTTGGTAAAACATGTTAAACCTGAACATCATGCGTAATTGGTGTTTGCGTCAGCTTTTCCATACCGACGCAAAAGTTTTCACGAATAAAGTAGAATTTATTTTATTGTGGAAGATTTTGCTTCAAAACGATCGCATTTTTACGTCATGATTTAAATATTTCAGTTAGAATTTTTTTTTATTGAATCCCTAAAAAATATTAATGAACATTATTTGTTTGCAGTTAATAGTCCTTAATAACACAATATTATATGTGCTTCGAAAGTTTAGTTGCTAATTGATCATATAGTACTTATTTAAATGAACGAAGTTTTTAATGTTCCCAATTTGGTAAATACATATTTCTACATATAAGTGTTTTTTTAAACATCAACGTCAATGATTTTTCCACTTAATGGTTGCAACTAATGATAATTCAATCATTTATTTAATTAGGCATTATTTTTGTGATCCTTTCTTTGATAAAATCGAGGATTAGAGTAAGGTTAATAATTCTGCAGAGTTTAAATCAGGCGGAAGTAAAATTATTTCACAAGATAGTGTATGCGAATAAATAATTTGGGAGTAAGTCTAAGTTAGAGGTAAATCCACCCGATGAAAAATTTATAGATTATCATTTTAGCCTTTTCAATTTTAGACCAAGTGAAGCTAACATCAATCTAAAAAGATATTGTTAGTTTTATAAGCACTGACTTTATAGAGACTTACTACTGATTTATAGAACCATTTGTGCATTTCAAATRTTGAAGTAATTGAGAATAATACTTTCAGTGACATACGGGAGAGTAATAAACAATTCATTGCTAAGTMCAAGTCACWTCTSGTTTAAGAGKATCGATAGTAGTAGTAAATTGTGAGCACATTTCTCATATTTTAAGACCKARGTCGATTTTGCAAACTKTAAAAGCTCTAATATTTGTTTGSAAACAGAKAGCARATTATAAATAAAGATAKAAGATAATAAAGAAGAAGAWKATGTTCTAATAATTGCATCATTTTTATAACTAATCGAGTTASATCTAAGCTCACAAAGCTTTAACCYAGAAATGAAAGTCAGAAAATAAATAACGGTTACAGTTACAAACGAAAGAATATCCAATCTGGATAAYTTCCGCCTCTTCAAGTTGATTTKAGAGCAAGCMAAATTTGTTTTTAACCTAAAATTTAGAGGAACTTGTTCCACCTTTCTATCTTCCTCAAATTAAATCTCGTAACGCAAAATTCGACAGTGCAGAAGTTCAATAACGAAATTATAATTAACGACGTCGTGTGAGATTGTTCTAGTATGGTCAAGATCTGTCTGAATACTGCCACTTGCTTATTACTTCTAAAGATAGCGGCTTAAGCGGTGAAACATGATTTTACATGCAGACATATAATTTTGTATTTTAATTACATAATAGTCATTATTTTTAATATAAATAATTTCGTCCTTCTAATGAAAGACCGTGCAGACTTCTGCATCTTTCTGATTAAACGGGCTAAGCTAAAAATTAACTTGACAAACCATCAAAATATTAAAGTAGGATCAACATTAGTTAAGTAGATGTGCGACACCAGTTCCCTACTATTTTTTTGCTTTACAAACAAAAGGAGAATAAAAAACATTTCTACATATATCCGATCTTCACTTTTAAGAAAGCTACTAATACTGCTAGTCATTATTTTCTCTGTGTACCTACATTTGAAATATTTATTATTGAAATAATGTGATCGATCAATTTAACATGGCACCAAATAATAACTTTAAGCTACTAAGTTCTGCACATTTATTGGTGGAAG